CCCCAGCTCCTATTTCCCACCTCTGTTACAGAAACCCAGCCCACTCATATTGACATTTCGGTTATGATGCCAATACCTAAAAGTTTCATGGCTTTTGTAGTCCCAAATCCAGGCCATTGAAATCCTGTCAGGTTTTAACTTCAAAAACTGTAGAAAATTGTGACTCTCCTACCTGACTGGTGACAACTCAAGGCCTAATGCTGATGACTAATGAATAAATTACAACCCAGTCGCAGTCAGGCCTATATATTTTCATGGTGAGGCATTGCATTTTACAGTTATCTTTTAACAGCATGACAGTGCTTTAAATAAATATTTTTGTTCATTCTTTTAAAAGCTGGAAATGCACAAGAAACAACTGCAAATCATTGTGAGTCACTAAGTTGATGTGACATAAACAGCTCAATATAGAAGCTCCTTCTGTGGTTTACAGCCCACACCAATGTGCTAATTACTGTACTTACACAGGATCAAATCTCTTCATGCAAGGAAGTTTTTTTCTAACAACTCCACCTATTTGTCAATTACTGAAAGTAAATGTGTTAACTTTTATTGATTTCTATACATTTCTAAGGAAAAACATTATATTTATGTTATACTAAATACTATGCCATTCTTATATGTGAAAGCTTGAATTGTTACTTGGCTACAAATCTACAGAAAATTTGCATTGTTACAATTATAACCTTAATAAGATGCTTCAGGATGATATCTGTAATAAAAGGTAAAATGAAGCATTTTGTATGTCCCATTGCCTGTTAGCAAGCCTAATTTGTTTGCTCGTTAGGGACTAAAGGGAGACAAATGGTTTTACTGGGAAAAAGATGCAAAGCACTTCAATTGAAGACAATAACAGCAACCAATATTGTGGATGATCTACAAAGTCTCCAAAGTCTCAGAAAATGTTGAGATAGGAATCGAAGGACAGGAGTAGGCCATTCAGCCCCTCAAACCCCTTCTGCCATTCAATAAGATAATGGCTGATCTGTGCCCTAACTCCATGCACCTGCCTTTGGTCCATATCCCTTAATACCTTTTCTTAACAAACATGTACCTAATCTCAGATTTAAAATTAACAACTGATCTTGCACCAATTACCATTGGGTTCTAATCAATTGTGCTTTAAATTGTCAATTAACTTCCAAGATAAAAGGGAGTTGGCATCTCTAGACTAGTTTTTTATCCCCCAAAGATAGTAATGCCTACCAAGATCCAAAGAGAGGGCAGAGCAGAGCACAGACTGTGAGATACAGTGGTTCACAATGCAAGAATGTGAGTGGGAGCTCGAACTCAGATTGAAATGACCAAATTCATGAGCAATTGAAATAAATCCTGAACATGTGCCCAGCTTGAGTTGAAGGAAGAATCTTCAGGAAAATAAATCACTGAGAAAGATAGTTCTCAGATTCTGAGGATTTTTCCTTGAGGTAATCTAGAATAACAGGTCATGGTTTTAGGGTGAAGAGCAGCAGAGTAGCAGTTTTAAAACTGACCAGGAGAAACCACTTCTTTCAAAGGGTCATGAAGCTGGGGAATTTAGTACCCTGAGTGTGGTGGATGCTGGGACATTGTGATTTTTTTTTTAAGGAGAAGCTGTATGGATTTTAATTTGTGATGGGTTGAAGGGTTATGAGATTGGGCAGGAAAGTAGAATTGAAACTGAAATGAGATTAGCCTTGGCTCTATCAAATGGTGGAGCAGGGTTGAGGGACCAAATTGTTTATTACTGCTTAGTTCTTATGAGATTTAAATCCTTAGGAGCTAGGAACCATCTTGGACTGATTCTGGGAATAGTGATTACCTGCTTAAAAGACAGTGTAAAGTATATCTGAAAAGCCTTGTGATTTTTCTAAAAGAGGAAAGATTGTTCTATAACTTAAGGAATAGGTTGTATATAAAAGGTAATGCTTTGTTAGTCAGGCTTTAAGTCATTTGTCACAGTCTAAATCTTAAAATATAATCTGGTGTCCTCCTTTCTGCTAGTTAATGAGATTCAATTTTTTTAGATGTTGTTGGTTACTTGGGAACTCAATGTTTCTCAACTAAATTTTTTCCACAACAAACTATTATCAGTGACTATTAAGTCTATGAACTATGTAGATGCACTATGGAGTAGAGCACAAATTTAATGTCTGCTTATTGTTTTACATACTATATAAAATAACAATTTAATTCCTCAAATTCTATTCTAACTCAAAGGAATTTCTAAAATAACACTTTGTACAAGCTTTTAATCCCTTTACAATAGTTAGCCATAATTTTTAATGGAGTTATGAATTCAGTATTAGGGAATAGCAAAATACATCAAGAATATTAAATAAAGAAGACAAGATGTTGCTTATCTACAGGTTGTTAACCTTAAAGTGCAATTATACCATTTTCTGAAGATGAGAATTGGTTTCACCTCTTTGTGTATTTAATTAAAGGAATAATATTGCAAATAATTGCTTAGTAGTACAGAACTTAAACATTGCAAAATGGAGACTAGAGGTTGAAATTTTTCATCTTGTACTCTACATAATGAGAAACAGACTTGAAAGAAGATGATGCCATTTTATGCAGCATGAGTGAGGGTGCTGAACCATTAAGCTGCAGCTAAAACAGTTGACCATCAATCTTAATTCTTAGACCAGACAGGTAACTTTGATTAAAATTGGAAAGAACTACAGATGCTGTAAATCAGGAACAAAAACAGAAATTGCTAGAAAAAATCAGGTCTGGCAGCATTTGTGAAGGAAAAAAATCAAAGCTAATGTTTCAGGTCCGGTGACCCTTCCTCAGAACTGGTAATATTGATTGGTCAGGCTGTTGCCATGGCGATGCATCAGAGTTTGGCTGTCCCCATAACCTTTTTTAAATGAGAAAGGTGCAATGTATGTACAAACCCCTTTTGCCTCCATGAAGCAGTGGTTTGAATATAGCTTCCAGCATATGCAAACACATTACACTGTGCCTGGCTGATGATCCTAAATTGGTTTCTGGTGTAACTTGTAGCATAGTTCAGATCATTTAATAAATTATCTCCAACAGCAGAACCACATCTATTGATTGATGTGCTTTTCTGAGGCTTGCAAGCACAGGCTGGCTGAGCATAAATAGCATTTTGCCCACTGTAAATGGTTAACAGGACATGTTATTTGATACGGTCCACCAATTGTTAGTGTATATGGTCTACATACATCATGTCACCACAGGAGCAGAAATTAGGTCATTCAGCCCATCAAGTCTGATCCACCTTTCAATCATGGCTGATAACTTTCTCAACCCATTCTCCTGCTTTCTGCCTATAACCCTTGATTCCCTTGACAATCATGAACCTATCTATCTCTGTCTTAAATATATTCAGTGACCTGGCCTCCTCAGCCTTGTGTGTCAATGATTTCCATACGTTTATTGCTCTCTGGCTGAAGAAGATTCTCCTATGTCCATTCTAAAGGTTCATCCCTTTAGTCTAAGGCTGTAACCTCGGACCCGAGTCTCGATTTGTGTGGTAGGCAAAATGTCTTTTAGCTTTGACAGCAGTATCTTGTTATAGACAGAATATGCTCTGTTCTGGAGCGTTTGGTAGATGGTACTTAAGAACTCATTTTCAGACTTTTGAACTAACACATTGAGGAAGGGAAGCTCATTTAATTGCTCCATTTCAAGTGGCAAATTTGAGTGATGCAGCTGAAATTGAAATATTACAGATGAGTCATCTACATATCATCCTATTCTATCAATAACCGACTGCACAACATGAATTGGCCAAATAGCTGTTGTAACCAGTTCTAAACTGGTTTTTCACATACATAGTGAAGGATTCCTTCATGTTCACTAAGACCGGACAAAATCTACATACTGAGAGGAATAGTACGTCCATGTGCTGTTTTGACAATGCCAGCTTATTTACCAATATACCACTAAAAGAAGCCACTGACATCTGCAATTCATCATGGCAATCTAGCTGTACTAACTCAGCCTGAATCGCATTCACCAAACTCTCAAATTTAGCTAATCGTACAGTTGAGTTCAGTTTCAATGATACCACATAAGACCAAATAGATAATGTTGCCATGAGAGCACCTCTAGACATAGTCCTTGCTAACACCTTTTGTTAATTACTGCAAGAAGTAGATTTTCAATGGACAGATGACTCACCTTTAACTCCTTGCTTACTTTTGATACGTATAAAACCTTGCATCACCCCAGACTGTGCTAAGCTTTACAGCAGCAACATTTAAGATCTGCAGTCGGGCTTGCAGTATGATGAATTTGCACGTTCTAGAAGTGATGTACATTAATACTGAGGACATTGGGATGTGTAGGGACAAGGAATTTATTCATACATTGCACCTTTTCCAAAAAAGGGGTCATGGACACTGCCAAACTGTTGCATCCCCATGGTAACTCCTCGGCCAATTAGAATTGACCTGCCTATTCTGTGAATTAAGATTGATGGTTAATTGTCCTGGCTGCATCGCAATGCCAATGATGGCCCAACCAATCAGCACCCTCTTCCGTGTGGTTCACCCTCATCTTCTAGATGTGGTTCTTCTGCATAAAATAATACCTCTTTCTTTTAAGGTCATTTCTTGCATTCCAGTTCTGATGAGTGCAAGACAAAAACTTCGACTTCTAGCCTCTTTTTAGCAATAACATTGTACTGATCTCTGAAACTTTTATGACTTACTGAAATTGATGTCCAGAGTTAAATGTCATTACAAATAACAATTATTGTTCGTTGATCAGCATGCAGTAATGGCATTTATGTTCATTCTTATAAGTATACAGCAAAAATGTACTTTTCCATTTCAGGGAAAGGCACACAAAATCTCCATGTTCTGTTGGACTACTCCCGTTCCTGAAATAAGCAGCAGTATCTTCTTGTTAAGGATAAAGTGGCCTTGACTCTTATTGAGAGACAGGTTCACATAAGTAGCAATGCAGAAATAGGTCATTCACTTCATCAAGTCAGCTCTGCCATTCAATGAGATCATGACTGATTGAATAACCCTCACCTCCACTTTCTAGCCTTTTCACCATAACCCATGACTCCTTAACTGATGCAAGGCCATACGACATAGGAGCAGAGGTCTACCATTCAGCTTGAATGTTTCATCATTCTTGATTTTTAAGACCATTTGCGTTCTTAAACGGTTCTTGTTTTGCAAAATTGGTGAGTTGTTCTATTAAAATGAAAGGGGAATAGAAAAGAACCGATTTACCATAATGAGCTTTGCTTGAGATCTTCATAATTACATTTTCAAATGTTATTTTATAGTGATATGTTTGATTTTATATTTCATAAACTATTATATAGTTAGTATTCCAAATGTTTTCTGAATAAATTAAGTATAAATTGCTTAATTGAAACTTATTTAATAAATTGTTAAAGCTTTTTAATGTTCCCATCATACTAACTATATGAAGTCAGCACTAAAAAATCATTTTGTTCAGCTTAATTTCACTCAAAATCTATATCAGTAGTTACTAAATATTAGGAATCTGAATTTATACAGAAAATGTAACCTTTTCATAAATTAGCTTATAACTTAATTAAATCAAACATGAAGAAGATATTACTTGAGTAATGTCATAAAATGAACTGTAAATAACTTATCTAAATAATGCCTGTGCTATTGAATATGATTTTATCCTAAAGAGTTTCCTGTAGATCTCAAAATACTCATTATTTAAAATCTGTTCAGAAATTGAAAATCAATACTTACACAATATTTAGATTTACTAAAATAATTTACAACTTGGACCTCAGAGGCCATTTAATTATAATCTTACCCGTGGCTTTAAGAAAGGCTTAATCTGTGGAGGAAGCTACACATTCAGAGAAATTTTGAATGTGTGCATTTTCATTCCTCTTCATTCAATTACATCCCACATTACAGTGAGGCAAGAAAATGGGAGAAGGCAGATGGATTAAAAAGGCTTTTACCCCTTTGGACAGGAAAGTCTTTGCTGCATCCACAAAGCCATCACTTCTGCTATTTTTGTTTTGCTAATTTAAGTGGTCACAATTCAAGGCCTATTACGAAATGAATCAAATCAGAGAACCCACAGTAAATGTTCTGTGGGTGAGCTCTTTTGAAACCCACGTAAATAATTTTGGACCGGTCCAGCAAAAGGCTAACACAAACATTAAGGGTCAAATGTCTTATCTCTGTGTTCTAAACTTCTATGGTTCTAGGACTCTGTGTCTATCCCTTGTGTCTCCTCCTTCATATCAATTGTGGAGAGGCATGGAAGGCAAATCAGTGTGGCTAACCTTCAAAGCAAAAATTGATCTCCATTACTGCACATTATGCTTTGTGACAGTTAATAGCCTGGATTCTGACGTGTAACAGTTTTTGTATGCTCATTTTGTAGCAGCATGATTAGAACATTGCATATGCAATGAATGAAGGGAGCCCTGTTCTAATCTCTCTGCATCCCCTCCCACACAGTCAACTACTCCTCTTAGCTAACTATCATTTGCCACTTGACATATCCAAGTGCATATCATCCACTGATAAAGCCAGGACTAATTCTATGATAGATATTCAGCTGACATCAGGTGCAGGACTCGGTCGTTACCCCACTGTGAATTGAATCACGCCAATGAGGATTTCTAGGTTTGTACATGTATATTTGGTGCAAAGACACACTCCATTCTTTGCTGTCAAGCTAATCTCAGATCACATAGTCATGTTCACCAAGAAACTGGAGAGATTTAGTTTTAGGCAACAAGGGGTAGTGTACTAATTCATGATGCCATGCACATCTATGATACAGAGACCTCTCCTCCCATCATCGACCTGCTGTATGAATGAATGGGGTGTAATGGGTGTGGTTGGAGGAGAGATGGTGGTGTGCTGGTAATTTCACTGTACTAGCAAACCAGAGGCCCAGGCTAATGCTTTTGAGGGTATGAGTTCAATCCCATAAATGGCTAGTGAAATTTAAATTCAATTTCTAATCAGGGCAGGTGATTGCCTAGTGGAATGATTACTTGTTTATTAATCCAGAGACTCACATAACGTTCTGTTGATCTTGGTTTGAATCCTGCCATGGCAGATGGTGGAATTTGCATTCAATAAAAATCAGGAATTAATAGACTAATAATAACTGTGCAACCATTGTTAGGGGAAAAAAAAAACAATTGGCTCATTAATGTCCTTTAGGGAGGGTATTTGCAGTCCTTACCTAGTCTGACCTACAGCAACACAGTTGACTCTCCGCTGCTCTCTGAGCCAATTAAGGATAGACAAATGCCACTCTTGCCACTGATGCCCACATTCTGTGAATGAATAAAAAACAATCTGGAATTGAAAACTAGATTTAATAATGAACCTACCATTGATTATTGTCAAAAACTCAGTAGATTCACAAATGTCATTTAGGGAAAGGAATTTGCCATTCTTACCTGGTCGAGTCGATGTGTGACTCCAGGCTCGACAACAATGTTGCTGACTTTTAAGTGCACTTTAAAAAGGCTGAGCAAGCCAGTCGATGCAAGAGGAAGGAGGGATAGCCTTGACAGTAACACCAACGTCCCGGAAAAGAAAAAAAAAATGAAATAGAGAGCAGGAAAGAAGTGTAACTTTTATTTTGATTTGTTCACAGAATGTGGGTGTAACTGAATAGGCCAGAATTTATTGCCAATCCCCAATTTAAGTGCCAACCACATTGCTGTAGGCCTGGAGTCACATGAGTAGTGGCCAGACTGGGTAAGGATAGTAGAATCCTTGCCCTGAAGGTAATTAGTGAACCAGGTTTGGTTTTTACACCATAGTTACCTTTAGGCTAGCTTTTGCTTCCAGATTGTTTTTTTAAATTGAATTCAAATTTCACCATTTGTTGGGGTGGGATTTGAACCCTGTGCCTAAAGCATCAGTCTAGATTTCCTGTGTTATTAGTCCGATGATATTAACATGACCCCATAACCTTCCCTCTGGCTAAGTTTGGAGTTAAGTTTTGTGTCTTTTTGGCTCAAAGACAAGGCTTTTGATTTATTTGGGCCTCAAAACACTGAATTTTTTTTTGAATGAAGGACAGACCCTAGATTTAGTCTTACAGGTGTAAAGAACTTCAAATAAACTTTCAGTGGAGCAAAGTTTTTAGTTATTTCCAAAACAATTCTGTTTCATTTTTCGCTCCAATGGTTTGCAACTTATGACTGGTTCAAAAAAATCTAATCATTCTGAGCCAGTGGTAATAATTGTTAAGCATTCAACAATTCAGGAAATGAGATGATAAAACTAATAAAAATAATAACTTAAGACATTCTCTCTTTTTGTGCGTCAGCAGGTGGCATACATTAGAATTGTTTAGCACACCATTGTGAGAGTGCCAAGAAAACTGAACCTCAGAATTTCATGAAAATTGATGAGATCTGACAGAAATACAATGACCAACTGAATGCAAATTAGCATTTACGCCAGATGAGCTATGATTATGCTCATTCTGAACTATATTTTTAACCCAACTTGTGAAAGGCTCAGATTCAAAGAGTTGCAAGGTAAAATCATGGCTTAGATCTTCACTGACAAAATGTTTGATTGTATTCCAGGGTCAAACGATGGGATATGAATAAGTAAATGATGCTGTTTTAACTGATGATGTTACTCTATCATCACCAAAGCAGAACAATAGACCAGAGAGAATTACAAAGGTGGAGCAGGAGTAACTTTAGAGTTGTATTCAGTAACGTATAAATAAAGAATATTATAATGCAGAAGAGAATGAGCTAGCCTGACTCTAGGATAAGGATGACCTTGGGAAGCTTGAGACCAAGAAAAGTGGTAACTTAATTAAAAGGGAGCAGCCTCAAGCAGTGAATGTATAGATATCCGCAGCCAAGAGAAACAACATAGAGTCACAGAGCTGTACAGCACGGAAACAGACCATACACACCAACTCGTCCATGCCTGAATTAATCTAGTTTCATCTGCCTGCATTTAGCCCATATCCCTTTAAACTCTTCCTAATCCCGTACTCATCCAGATGCCTTTTAAATGTTGTAATTGTACTCACCTCCACCACTTCCTTTGACAGTTCTTTCCATACACACACCACCCTCTGCATAAAAAAAAGTTGCCCCTTAGGTTCCGTTTTTAATTCTTCCCCTCTCTCCTTAACCTATGCCCTCTAGTTTTGGACTCCCATGACATGGGAAAAGGCCTTGGTTATTCATCCCATCCATACCCCTCATGATTTTATAAACTTCCGTAAGGTCACCCCTCAGAATCCGATGCTTCAGGGAAAATAGCCCCAGCCTATTCAGCATCTCTCTACAGCTCAAACCCACCAACCCTGCCAACATCCTTGTAAATCTTTTCTCAACAATGTGCAAAACTTTCATATTAAATCAGCCCTTAAAGAAACCATAATGCAAAATCAGAAATTTTACAGAAATTCAAGGAGAGACAGGTATGTGCTTATGGGAACTAAAAAATAATTCCTGTATTCCCTTGTTTTGGCCAAGCGCTACTCTTGAAATGGCATAAAATCACTGGCTTGGATGGAGTGCATTTGCACACATTCGAAGACATTGAGAAAATTGCACAGGCATTCATTTGCAAATACAAAAAAACCTCATTAGTAATGAGAGTAGAAGTATTAAAATAGAGAATGAAGCAAAGTTTTGAAGAAGGGCTAATGGACTTGAATCGTTAACTTTGCTTTCTCTTCACAGATGCTGACAGACCTCCTGAGTTTGTCCAGCAACTTCCGGTTTTGGTCGTAACAAAGCACTGTGTTTCATTTCCAGAAGGAGAAAATTGACAGAGAACTTATCCTTCCAGACTGCATTTATTGTACATTTATTATGTCATGAAAAGTTTTAAAATAAGGAAAATGGAAACACTGGAGCCTGTGGAAAAGAATTTACAAGAATAGTACAACAATTTAACGGGTACACCTGTCAGGAAATGCTTAACAAGCTTAGATTCTTTTCCATGGAAATCAGGAAAGCCTGGGGATAATCTAATGGAAGACTTTAAGATTATGAAAGCTTTTGATGCAATGGACATTTTGAAAAAGTTTCTAGATGTAGGAGAGACAAAACTAGAAGGTATAAACATAAATAGCTACTAATTAATCCACTAGGGAATTCAAGAGAATCTTCTTTACACAGGGGAAGTTGAAATTGTGGAACTCTCTTCGAATATTATCATCTCTTCACAGTTAGCACTGGTGGAGTTCATTGTCCTTTTGAAGCATTCTCTAAGGGGATCTAAAAGTTTCTTATTACAAACATATGAATTAGGAGCAGAAGTAGGCTATTCGGCCTCGCGGGTCTGCTTTGTCACTCAGTTGATCTAGTTGCATTTCAAATTCCACATTTCCAATAATCGTTGATTCTCTTGCTTAATAAGAATCTATTCTATTGGTCATATTTCAAATCCTTTTTCAGTACTGAATAGTTTGTTGCTACATGTAAATTCGCTGAGAAGCCCTTAAGCTGAGTTCGCCATTACTTAGGAAGAACTTTAGAAATAGCAACAATAATTTATGTGCTGCAACCATTATTAACATGGGGTGAAACTTTAGCATTACAGTAACACTTTTCTGATTTAAAGTTTGATTTGAATAATGTGACATTGCCCATTTATCTCATGGTACAGCTGGAAGTAATATTTTGTTCATCAATCTTTCGTATTAATAATAAATGCACAGAATAATAAACAACATTCCATGGAATATCTGCACAAACTCTATATGGCAGCTATGCTGGCAGATTCAGCTTAAGCTGCATAAATGTTTGATAATATTGCTGTGGTGGCTTTAATAAGGTAGATGAACGTCTGACTCTACTATTACCCACTTTGTTTCTATTATTTTGTTTGCCACAACAATTACATTTTTGCCACATCCAGTTCCATAAAGTGACATGAAACATTAAATAGGTCCCTTCAGAGGAGAGAAGGTGTTATGCGAATGGATAAAACTGGCTGCAGATGCAATACTGCAATCTGTTGTCATATGCTTGTTCAACAGATATGAGAGTCCCTAAACATAAACTCGGGAATTCTCATGCTCCTGTTGCCAAGCTGCATTGAAGATTTGATAGTTAGAATTTTTTGTGTCATGCGAGATGAGTTATCACTTTTCATTGACACTGACATGGATGGATGTTTATGGGGTGGAAGTTAAATTCAAGTTATCTCAAAAACTGTTTGGAGTGTTGTATTCAGTTTGGCATACAACAGCTCAGGAATGATATATTGATCTTGCAGTTAGTGACGACTCAACAGAATGACACTGGGATTATTTTTGTTGTTCCAAAGAAAGTCATCTCTTTTTATGATGCTACTAAGGTGGTAGGTGGAGTGAAGTTACAGAGTCGTGATGGTCTGAATGAATAAAGGACTATGCTCAAGAAAATGAAACGTCTCCGACTATTCCTGCATTCTCCGTACTCCAGACCAAAATAATTGATACCACTTAAATATCATCTTACCTAACCTTACCAGTAGATTGTGGCTCCTCACAATTTATATATTCAATTCAATTACAGTCTCATCTTGTCTTTAGGTTGCATTTTCACAGAGATAGCTTGTTAGCCTGAACCCCAACCTACAATCAAGAAGTATCTCAATTGCCTGAATGGACTATGTGAGGATTATTGGAATGTTTTTAGTCTGAATCCAGCTTTTCAATTTATTTAGCTGAGAGTGGAGGGAAGACAAAGGATTACTATTGGGAGTTCATGCTCTTGACAGTAGAACTCTTAGGGTTACAGGAGGTAACAAACATTGCAAAACTTTGAGAAGCTAGCCCTAGGGCAGACGACATGATGATAATACATCAGCGAATGGCTCTCATTGGGCTTGCCTTTATGTTGATTGCTGACTCCATCATTGACATCAGGGTAGCAGTTGACTTAGTGTGAAATCAGTGAGCCATAATAAAATTTAATAATTTTAACAGAATATTTTAGTAGAAATCAGAGGAAAGTCTTCCAATGGTTACACTGCCATCCAGTAGAACGTAAAACATTTGTGGTTGTTTGAGGCCAATCGACACACCCCCTAGACATTGCAGATGTTTCTGAGGTAGTATCCTAAACCAAACTAGTTTCAGCTGATTGATCAATGACCTTCCTTCCCGTGTCCCAAGGTCAGAAGCAGTGATTTTCACAGACAAATGCAGAGTACCAAGTTCACTTTCTACTCCTCAGATAATGAAGCAGTTCATGCCTGACTGCTGCGAGCTGAATAGCTTTCAGGCTTCAGATGTTAAATGGCAAGTAACACAGTGACACACAAATGACTATCTTCAACAAAACAGAGTCTCATTACCATCCTTTGACATTCAACAAGTTTATCTCTTTTTCGTTAAATCCTGACATTTCTCACCCCAATCCAACCCAATCCTAGGAGGTCATCATTGACTGGCAAAATAATGGAGCTGTCACATCACTACTGTTTCTACAAGAGCAACCCAAGGATTGTATATTCTGTGCTGTCTAACTCATCTGCTCATACCCTAAAGCCCATCCACCATCTATGAGTCACAACTGTGATGGTATACTCTCCAATTGCCTGGTTGAATGCAACAACACTCAAAGCTTGGTACCATCCAGGACAAAACAATCTGTTTGACCCACACCCTTAAATGTTCACTT